CTTTACTTATTAGTACGACTAACTAACGTATACTTCGTAGTAAATTAACTTTCTTCGTACAACAACTATTCTTCGTTATTACTATTACTCTCTCTCTCTCTTCTCTCTCTCTCTCTCTCTCTCTCAAGGAGTATCCAGTCCATCGATAAGTGCATAAGAATAACTAATAACCCAGACTGCCTGACTTTCTCTCTGAAAATCGGACCAGTGCCTCTCTCTCTCTCTCTCTCTCTCTCATTAATAACCCAGACTGACATTCTCTACACCCTTCAGAACTTCAGAATACAAATGCCTCATCTCTCTCTCTCTGGATTGGACATGGTCCCTTACTCCAAATCTTCCCCAAAAGGAGAATATCCATCTCCAAACCTCCCCTGATTTGGCATTTTCCCCTGTGCCTCTATTTTCTCCCCCTCTTCATGGGAGGCTGTGTCTCTCTAGAAAATCCCATCATCACCTGAAAAGCCCACCTTTTCTGACAACCCCAATGTTACTCTCTCTCTCTGCTTTGCCATGGCTTATGCTGGTCTCTCTCTCTCTGGCCCTATAAGCTCTTTCTTTAGTCTTCCATGACTTCTTGTGTGCAATCCAATGGGCCATTCTCTTTTTAATGCATCTCCACTCTCTTTTTGATGCCCCTTCAAGAAATTCAGAAAGCACTGGTTGATTTCTGGTCTTACACTTTATATTTAGGGTTTTTAGACCCTTTTGGCCATTCCAATTGCCACATTCTTAGTAATTTCCAGCACATTGATGGTCCTGAAACTCGTTAAATTCCAGCTCTCACTGAAAAAATCAGCCTTCAGACGAGAATTTTGGCAAGATGGTTTTTGCTAAGTTGTTTTAAAGGAAATTTACCAAAATACAGTTAAAAATTTCAGCTATTTAACATTTTACCATTTATGAAAAGGCACCTAAAATATCAACTATTGTAATTCGTGATTACCGCCTTTCATTGGCTTTTTGAAATTTAATCATAAGAAACAAGGTCTTAGATGCATTTCGTTAAATTTCCCTTGTTCTAATGGTTAGTTGTGTGGCTGTTTGTTTTTCAGTAGGAAATCTTTTGGGTTTCCTCTAAATTTTACTTCTGTGGATGAGCTTTCAGAGTTCTTATAATTTTGTTTGTTTGGTTGTTAATTCAATTATTTCCACGATTTCTTCAGTTAAGAGAACTCGTAATATATCTAGACTTGAGAGAGAGAGAGAGAGAGAGAGAGAGAGAGAGAAGGTCATGGTGTTACTATCTCCGATGTCCCAGAAAGAGGTCCTGGACTCCATTCCCACCAAGGTCTCAAGTGAGCTTTCTTAATAGAGAGAGAGCTCTGAAATAATGTTGGAATGTATAGGGAAAATGAAAAGTTTTGGGACAGGATGTGGGATTGAGATTTTTCTTGACGCCTTTTGTTTTGGAAGTTTGTGTTATGTAACTTTCCTTCTTTTCTGAGAGTTTGCATTTACATGATTTTCTTTAGGAGGAAAGCCTTTAGTGGAGGCGTTGTTTTGGTTTCTAGTACCATCTCTATAGGATCTCGTCGAGACCTTTTCTTTGTTTCTTGCATATTATTTGCAATATTCATATTTATATAAATTCGTCACTTGTTGGTTGAGCAAGACGGGATATATTGCAATTAGCTGAGATGATGTAAGTCAATGCATTTTGCAGGGGTTTTACTATGATGCCTTTTACAATGACTTGACCTTGAATGAGGAGCATTTTGGACATATTCAATCCCAGGCAAAAAAGGCTGTTGATGTAAGATGTTAGCTTTTTGACACAGCAAGTGCATTTCGCATCTGATTTACTTTGTGATATTTATTTTGCTACACCTATTGTTTATGTTTTTCTGATTGGTGTAACATTTTTTTGGATACCACAACATGTACTACGTTCTTTCTCTTGTTTCTTCTGGGAACTGCTTGAATATCTAATTGATCTCAATGATGATATTAGATGAACTTTTTCTTTGTTTATCTGGTATTGGATTTTGGGCTTCTTTTTTGGTAACCATCACTGCCATGTTTTAAGGTCTCATTTTCCTTTTTTGGATAATTAGCACTGTACCAATGGTTCTCTATTTTTGTCTATGCTTTTAGGCAGACTGCAACAATGTGTAAGGGACTTACTGTATCCAAAAGGTTTACAAAATCAGTAATATAAACTGTACAGAAATTTCTTAAGAAAGAGGATTGGATATAGGATGGGTAATGAGGATGTCTGGTTATCTGGTCTCTACCACTTCTTTTCTGGGCATCAGCTGATGGTTTTCTTTTCTATGTTTGTATATAAACTTAACCTGGAGTTTGAAGCACATATCTATGATCAGATCAAAAAGGTGTTTTAGCCTCCAAGGGCAAGGGTTGGAAGTGGGAATCCTTGGTCCTTCTGAATCGCCTTCTATGAGCAGGTTAGAACCCCAGTTTCTCCCAAACACTTGCAGTTGGATGAGCAGGGCATGTATATTTGCTAAGGTCGAATCAGCAATGCCCATAGGTCCTGAAAATGTAAGGAGAATCCAAAAGGATGTCTAAAGATCCACCAACCCCAGCTGGACCTGGTGCCCTTAGAGCTGACATCAAAGTGAACTTTGATGACACCTCAATTTTTGGCTAGCCATCTAGAAGATTTAGGAGTTGGATTAGGTTTGGACCATATGATTGGTTAGCCACGTCTACCACCTATAAAGCTTGGAATTCTTTGCTGCAGAATGCCCACGATATAAACATAGCTTTGATTGGGTCAATCATGGTGTTCATTTGTAACTGGGAGCTTTAAATGCTCTTTGGCCACTCCAAGCGTACTGACCATGGAATGGCTAGAACAGTCAGTCTCCATATTAATTAACATGAAGTTAGGAAGAGGGGGGACAGCAAACATCTAAGAAGACTATCCAGGACCTAGGGGTCACCGACTGCCATTTGAAGAGTTCCAGGAAGCAAGACCATATTTTGGAGGCAAGTTGACAATGTAGCAATAAGTGGTTGACTGTTTCTCCAGTTTACCTGCACAAATTTAGCTGGTTTGTCAGTGGTTTACATTTATTTCTTTACATGGTTGAGGGTGATGGTTTTGTTGGAAACAGCAAGTGAAGTCCTATGGCTGTGGATTGCAATTTGTGTCGATAAGGGTTCTATAGGGGAAAAAAGGAAAAAAACAACAGAGATTTAGCCTGATGTTGTGATAGAATGAAGTGGACCTTTAACTTGTCTAGCAGCGCCATTCGATCACCGACTTCATTGTCTCTCATATTTCGTCTAAAGAGCAGAATCCAAATGCATTTTTGCCCAAGTCTTCACATAGCCTAAGGCATTTCCTGCTACAGGGCAATGAATGGAACTTTTTCCTGCTGTATTGCTATCTCTCCTTTTTTCACCCATTTTATCCTGGATCTCTGGTGGTAGAATATATCTTCCTGCTTTAGAGAGGACTCCCCCCCCCCCACAACAATCTCCTCACAAATCCTACCCTCTCCATTTCCGATTCTCCTCACCCTTTCCCTTGTTGTTCTAGTCTCTTTGACTGCTGTGAAATTTTCCGGGTGCTGGAAACCACTTTGCTTGTTCTATACCAATTTCTTCCGTATGACAACCTGTGAATCCTCTGAATAAGGCTCGTGAACTTTTGAGATATTCCTAGGAGCAGAAAGTTGCTCCTGATCACACATAGCCGTGGCCCAGATTTTGTTGAAAAGGGGTCATTCTGTGCATCGGTCAATGTGCACCAGATATTATGACTGTAACAAGGAGAGGGATATGTGTGCTGGAGATGATTTTGGTTCTACTGTTTCCACAATTTTGCATAGTTCCCAATTGCAATTTGACAAAGGTGCTCCAGTTCAATCTACCTTGATGATGCTACCACAAATGTTTTCTATGAATATCCATAATTCCACCTGTACAAGGGGATTCCATGGGCTTGAACCCAAATCTTCTCTGTGGGGTCTGCCCACCATTGAAGGGAACCAAGGTTTGAGGTTGAGTATGACTCCCTTGAATCTGAAAGCATTTGATGTAAGTAATCTTTGCTCTCCAGAGTTAGCAAGTCACAGATGATTTCTAGGTTCTGGTTGCCCACACAATGATGCAACTGATGTCGTGTTTGGGAGGACTCATATCAGTGCCAAGCGCAACGTTGATATTTTTTGAAGATAATATTCTTACCTATGGTAATGGTGTGTAGGCCATTTAGTAAGGTTGCATTAATTTGTGGCTGTTGGTTCAATAGATATGGATGGTTCTTGGCTGCATAGGGGTTGGGGTTTCGGTATGTACTTGAGTGGGCTGTATGCCATTCTTCTGAAACTGTTTCTGGTGTGTGGGCGGGGTGGGATGGCATGGGTTCTTAGGGTTTTATCAGGTCTTTACTGACTTTATGGTTGGGGAGCTCATGACGAGAGGAGGTTGAAGTAGATGCGTGTAATAGGTGTTGAGACTAGGTGGCACTCGAAGGCTATGTGCTTCCTTGTATTGGGTATATGGAGCTCTTCTTGCGTTGCCTAGGCGTGAATCGCCATGGAACTATTAAAAAGCATATTCCTCTGGTTCACAGTGAATTTCATGGGTCAGAAAATTTGCTTTCTTATTTTTACATTTTGTAAATATGTTCCTAAGGAACTTGTCTAGGTATCCTTCCTGTGTCTTTTCAGTTTCATTTACAAATTTCTTCTTGAATATCCTCATAGTCAATATCACTTATCACAGGTTCCACAAACTGCTTGCTGTTGATAGCTCACTATTGGGAGCTATTCCAATCGCCAGATCTTGACGGTGGAAATAGATTTGTGGGGCAGAAAGTTGAGGGCTAGAAAAATCCACTTTGGTGGTCCACACACACGTTGATGGGAATGTTGATGATGGAATCTAGGTTTGTAATTTTATCGTCATGGTCTCCATCTCTCATGACCTGTAGCATTTTCTGGGCTATCAATGGCTGTGGGTGAAGTTGAGATTCAGATTCCAGTGCCATTCAGCCCTTCTATGTGACTCCGTCATGCCAGGCTTGGGTCTACGAATTGTTCTTATTTTAAAAGCAAAACGGCAATTGAGTTTCTATGTAGAGAAAATTTAGCACAGGGAAAATTTAGGTTTCACTTGTGATACTGGTTCCAAAGATCAAGAATTAACTGGTTGAAAGCGGGTGACCATAACACCGCCTTTTTTTCATTGGATAGTTAATTGTCGCAGAAGAGACAGTACTATCTCAATGATCAAATACAACAACCGCTACTTAACTCAACCAGAAGAAATTGAGCAGGCAATCATAGAGTTCTTTTAGACTCTATACACAGCTCCATCTGGCCCCAAACCGAGAATGTCATCCCTTGACTTGTTAACCTCATCGATGATCAAGCTGTTTGGCTAGAGCGACCCTTCACAGAAGAAGAAATTATAGAAGCTATCGATGCTCTTGCCAAAGACAAAGCCCCTGGTCCTGACGACTTCCCAATTGCACCTTTTAAGGCTTTCTGGGATACTTTCCATCTTGACTTTATCAATTTCTTCGAGGAATTTTTCCTCTGGGGAACTCTCCACAAAGCTATTAATGCCACTTTTCTAGCCCTAATTCCCAAAGTTGAAGGGGCCGAGGAAATCAAGGATTTCCGTCCATTCAGTTTGCTCAACTCCCCCGACAAAATTCTGGCAAAAGTCCTGGCTTCTAGGATTCAACAGGTCCTCCCTTCCATCATCTCTTCATCTCAAACTGCCTTTATCGAAGACAGACAGATCCTAGATGGGGCCTTAGTGGCTCACGAGTGCATCCACTCCAGGCACTTGGCCAAAAAACCAGGTCTTATATTCAAAATAGATTGAGAAAAAGCCTATGACCATGTTGATTGGTCAATTATGGAGGAGTCTATGGCAAGGATGGGTTTCTGGGATCGTTGGAGGAAGTGGATGAGTGGGTGCTACTCCCATTCACACTTTTCCATCCTCATTAACAGAACCCGAAAAGGTTTCTTCCTGTCCTCGAGCGGTCTCCGTCAGGGAGACCCCCTCTCCCCCTTCCTGTTTGCCATCGCTGCGAAAGTGTTCAGTTGTTCTATTTCCCGGCTCTATCAAGCAGGACTCCTCTCTGGCTTCAGGAGCAGTTGACACGGCCTAACAGTGTCCCATCTACAATATGCAGATGATACCCTGGTGTTCCTAGATACCTCTCGAAGCGAAGTTGACACCCTCAACCTCTTCCTAAAATGCTTTCAAACAGCAACAGGGATTAAAGTCAACATGGAAAAATCTAAAATGATGGGAGTAGCTCTATCAAATGCAGCTGTCAGAGCGATCATTCGAAATTGGGAATGTAAAGTGGAGGATCTCCCTAGTATCTATCTCGGCCTTCCACCAGGACTGGGGAAACCCAAGAAGAGACAATGGTCTCAAGTCCTAGATAAGGTAGATAGACGTCTGACAGGGTGGAAAGGTAGATACCTCTCAATGGCAGGGAGAACGACAATGTAAAAGCCACCCTATCAAACTCTCCAGTTTACCTCATGTCTCTCTTCCATATGTCAGCCCAAGTGGCAAACCTGCCTAGAACAACTCATGAGGAATTTCCTATGGTCGGGGCAGGCTGAAAAGACAAAATTTCATCTTGTAGCTTGGGACAACATTTGTCTACCTAAACATAAAAGAGGTTTAGGAATCCGGGTACTTCGAAAACACAACCTGGCACTCCTAGGGAAATGGTGGTGGCGTCCAGCCACCCAGCCTTTCTTTCTTTGGGCTCAGGTCTTACGGAATAAGTATAGGATACCCGAA